AAAATGTTCAATTAAGTCACATTGAATTGGAGTGAGTGAAAATTTTTTTCAATTGTTGCTTCTTTTACAAGAAATATTTTGACACTGTTATCAAAGCAGATCTAAATTTAGTAGTTTTGCACTATTTTGGTTGAAAATGGACATGAACTTATAGAAATATTTGTACATTCGTATTTACAAAACATAACTTAGTCAAACACAAGGAAACATGTGTAGAGCACTGAGTGATGATTGAACTTATGACAGCCAATTTCTTCAAAATTAACTTACAAACCATTTCATTATGGCAATACTGAGCTTTCTTTAGTTTTTACTAAACTTGTATGACTGATAAACTGCTGCCAGCTACTCTCTCTCTCTCTCTCTGTATATATATATATATATATAGAGAGAGAGAGAGAGAGAGAGAGAGAGAGAAAGAGAGAGAGAAAGCTAACACTTAATAATATTAACTACGAACATGGCCACAATGTGCTGTGTTTGGAAAATAAAACATTTCTATAACACTAAAAACATACACACAACACACACACTCAATTAAACTGAATAAATAAAATCATCCTTGATAAGTATAGCTGAAAGTGCTCAGAATTATAGAATATTTGGACAGTTTCTACACACTGTGTCCAAAAAAAGAAAACACTGATATATATATATATATATATATATATATATATATATATATATATATATATAATGTGTGTGTGTGTGTTGTGTGTCCATGTGTATGTCTGTATGCATGTACAAACTTCTTTTTATTTAATTTTAATATTTTAGTTCATTTAGAATAATTTAATGAAACACTTCTAAGTGACATAAGCTAGCATTGGGAATTTCACAGACAAGGTTGAAAAATATATACCATAATTCCAGTAAATGATATATTTCATGTATTGTTTAAATAATATTTCCTTTGAAACTGTCTCTTTGTGAACAAACTCAATATTCTCAGAACCTCTTCCACGCCTCAAAAGCTGAAAAGGTATGATTTTCAGTTGTCATTCTATAAATGAACACTGCAACTTTTCATATATTAATGATGGCCAAAATTTTAAATCATTGTATATGATCTGTAAGATATGTATCTATTACATTGACTTTATTCTGTAAATGAATATTCTATTTTTGATTATTCATTTTTTTATGTTTTAATCCTTTTCATTATATGGACTCATTGTACAATAAGATTGTATATGATTTAATACTATTGAAAAATTTTTTTTTTTGCTTTTTTTAGTATGAGATTAATAATACTTGTAAAATTGTATCATATTTTAAAATCAAGTGTGCAGAAGCAAAACACTGAGATACCCTAAAGCAAAAAAATTCAAAGTTTTTTTGGCTATAAATTATGAAAGAAAAAATATCAAATGTTTTTAAAATTATTTTAACTTAAATGTTGTTGCACATAAAAAAAACTGGTTTTCTTTCAATATAATAATTGATTAAAGTCAATCTATTTATCTAATATAATTATTTGAAAAATGACAATTTAAAAATGTTTTAAATAAAAATATTACATTAATACACAATTTTAGAACAAATAAAGCTTGAAAGTCTATTTTCAAAGGAATTATATAAAAAATACAGCTATTTTTTTTTTTTATTTGACACTAATGCACAATAGCAAAGTGTTTGTAAGCCCATTTTCAGAACTGATTATTCTATGATAATATGTGAACTGTGAAGAGTATCTAGCCCCTCAACAGCACTATAGAAGTCCTCCTTCTGAAAACAGTCCAGTTTTATTGTACATCAAGTTTCATTTGAATTTCATTTCTGACACCATTCCAATAAACCAGTGTTTGACAAAATGAATGTTTGCCAAAACCCCAATGAAGCATTTTGAATATCCTGATAGCATATCTGCTGAGATTCACACAAAATATAAAGCAAGTAGGTTGCTTGAACTTGTCAGCTACTGTAAAGATTGCAGAGCCATTCCAATACTCCACTACAAAACCATGTGTAATAATTGAGCACGTAGATAGCATGAAGCCTGTTCATAGACTGATGTAGTAATGAGCATGAGCTGCATGTACATTTCTGCAGAACAATACAATCAGAGAAGGTACATCGCAAAACTTCCTGATACCCCCTCATATATATTAGGATGGATCATTCAGTCAGTAGCCTGGTCCAAGATTCTTATCTAAATAATTTGGACTTATATAATTAATATTGATCACTGCATAAAGTGAACTGACAGAGGAGATTATACTGAAAAATATTTTCTGTGTAAAATACACGCTTTATTCATAATTAGACTGCAAACTTATTGATGTGCCTATATATATATATATATATATTTGGTTGGATAGATGTGAGTTTGTGACCTTGGGTTTCACGCTTTACGATCGCTAAAGCGTGAAACCCAAGGTCACAAACTCACATCTATCCAACAAATATGTTAACTCTATCTCTGATATTGAGCGCTTTCTAATAAGTATATGATATAATATATAAATAATTATACATATATATATATTTATTTATATTTATATTCACTTTTCTCATATATATATATATATATATATATATATATACAGGTTGAGTAACTTTTATCCAAAATTCTAAAATCTGAAAACCTCCAAAATCCAAAAGTTTTTAAGGTGCTGACATAACTTGCCACAAATGGAAAATTTCAGAAAGCACTAAGGAAGGTTCCTAAGTGATGTGCAGCTGTTATAAGTGACCTCATCAGCGTGTGGGTTACGTAGCCTACATTGGTGCCAGTTACAATAAGACCACCATTGATGGATTACTTACCAGGTGTTTCATGTTCAGTAAAGATAATATTCAAAACATCCTGCATTTATATACTTCTTGTAAGTAGTGATTAGTTATCATGCTTTTTTGTATACATACATAAAGTACAAAAAAATTATTTTTATGTAAAATCTTAATTTCACAATTTCTGGAATTTATCTGACTGGCATTATTACCTGTAGCTGTATGCACACAAAATTTATTAAATTTTATATAAAACTACTTTCAGAGTATAAGTTAATTATATAAAACTACCTTCAGTTGTGTTATGAAATGTAAAGGGATATCATGTTTATGTTTGAGTTCTCTTCCCAAGCTGCCACATTTTAAAATAGCCTGTATTTCACAGTCTGAAAATCAAAGCACTTCCAGTAAAAGAATTTCAGAGAAAGGTTTTTCAACTTCTCTCTCACTCTCTCTCTCTCTCTCTATATATATATATTTACACACACACACACAATGTGGTGTAGAAAATTTCAACCAAGATTATATAGGATACCTGGAAATAGATTGAACTGAGAACTTTTTAACATCTCATTATATATGTATATATAGTTGTTTAAAATCTAATATACAGGAGAAGAGTACTTCATATAAAAGACAAATTATTTGAAAATATGTAGAATCTGGAAACAACACTGCATCTTCACTGTCATTTTCATGTTTCAAGTGATCTTCAGAGCATGTGCCTGGTCTTCAGACATTTTGTATGAAAATTACTTAAGGCATGAAACTTATTTCAATGACTACTCTGTCTGTCTGTCTGTCTATCTCTCTCTCTCTTATATATATATATATATTCATACTTGTTTCATTAAATAATATAGAAAAAATTTCTCAGTTAACCTGTAGAAAACTTTTATATATATATATATATATATATATATATATATATGAAAATTTCTCCGATTTAACTGGTAGAAGACAATATTTATGAATAAAAAATGACAATAGGAAAACTGATAATTGCTGACGCGTTTCGTCCATTTTTGTATTTTGCTTTGATAAAGTCCACATTGGACGAAACGTGTCAGCAATTACCAGTTTTCCTATTGTCATTTTTATTCATAAATATAATATATATATATATATATATATATATATATATATATATATATATATAATAGTAAAGCATCTACCAATAAAATATTATGTCATATTCAGTAAAATTCAATTATGTATTTCTTTGATATTGAACATTTTTTGTGATTACCCTTTTATTTTTTTAAACTATCTAAATTCAATCAGTCCCATGAGTTTTGGACCAATACACAGTCACTGAGAAATTAGTTAAAAAATATTGCTTGATACTAGATTTCTCTTGCCTGATTTGCTTGAAAAAATGGCTACTGTAAAATGAACATCGATAGGAATTGTGATTCATTAAAAGATTTAAACATCTGAGTCCATTGTCCTGAACATTTCCTTTTTGTTTTGTGCTGATGTTTTGTTAAACTTTGTTAACTTTCTTTCTTAATGTAATGCCTTGTTAATTTTTCCTCTTAATACAATCATCATCATCACCAATATTACCATCATTACAACTGTATTGTTTCATGTCATCATGGCTACAATTAACAATCCCATTATCATTCTTATCATTACTTCATTAAAGGATGTCTCAATAAAACCAACTTTTTTTACAGATGTATGTTTCACTCAGAAGGGAGTGTGCACACTATTCTTCATGGAGCCTACAGAATTTATAAACATGCATGTTGTCTTGTCATATTTTTTCTGATACTTTCAATGTGAGTTGTGCACAACATGAGTTGAGCACAAACATAAACATTTGCCTCTTTATATGGAGTTTGATTAACAGTGCCACATTTAGTGTTGAAAAACAAGTTGGAAAAAAGTATGATTTTAAAAAAGAATAGCAATGTGCATACAACTCTTGATGGAACTTAACAGTATTGATAATCATGCATGTGGTCTTATATATTTTCCTGATATTTTCACTGTGAGTTGTGCACAAGTATACAAGGAGGTTCTGAAAACTTCTCTGACTGATCATGAACCCCTTATAAAAAAAAAATAAAATAAAAAAATAAAAAATTCTTTGTTCATTTAGTCAAATTTTGGGAAGTGTATTCAGCTGAAAATTTTTCAGCACCTCCTTGTAAATATTCGCCTTTTTATATGGAGTTTGATGGCTCACTCATTAGTGAGGAAATGATGATGCATACAGAGCCGCACACACAGGTTAGAAAAGCTTGATTTTTTTCCAGAAAGATGGATTTGGCAGAGGGCCAGGAATACCACCTGACCTCAATTTCACAGAGAATCTGGGAGTCATCATGAAGGAGCGCATTCAAAATGTCCGCATGGACTTGCCCAACGAACAGCAGTATTCCCGACAACATTTGATACAGGTGATTTTTGAAGTTTGGGAGGAATTTAAAAGCTGAACAAATGTTCAAAAACCTCCTTCTCTCATTTAAAACAATGTTCAATATTGTGAAGTTTTCTGGCGGGAAATCAACTAAAAAAATTGGTATGTAGATTTGGACTTGCAAAAGAAAAAGAAAAAAGAGTTGGTTTTATGAGATACCCTTTTAAAGAAAAACAAGTTTTGAATTTTATAATTTTGATATTATTACAGTTAACACAGTAATTATTCATGCTACTAATTCTACTTATAATTTTTATGGCCACAATACTTTTTGCTGTATTAACACTACAGTAAAATTATTACTGCAAAATTGGCATTATTCTTTTCCTTTTATTATTAAAAGTATTATTTCATAATACATTATCTTACCAATTTTATGATCACGCCTCTGACAAAGTATTTCTACAAAATGTTAACAAAACTTCCCATGTTGTTGAAATATATGATTTCTGTCCAATAATATATATTTACATACAAATTTCATATCCTAAACTTCAAAACAATTATAGGACAGAGATAGTATATTTTTATAATTATACAATTACATAACACTGAAATGAATATTTGTTCTCTTTTATTATTGCTATTATTATATCTTTGTTATTATCACTTATGATTTTTTTTCATTATTGATATTTGTTCTGATTCTATTTACATACATTAAAATCTTTGCAAAGATACATCTATTAATATTGTTTAAGTGCAACAGAAGTTTCATTATTTTTTTGTTTTCATGACCAATATTTTGGCACTAATAAATTTTTTGCTTACCATTACATACTATTTTATTTTTACTGCCATAATCATTAACTTTATTATTATAATTGTTCTTCTTATGAGTATTTCATGATCATTATTATCAGTTTTACTATTTAATTTTCTATCACTTTCTTATGTATCTATCATTATCACAATATTAACATACAATATTTATGATACACAAAATCAATCCAATTATATCACATCTCCATGAGAGTAAACTTATTCTCTTATGTACACAAATGAATATACTAATGCTATTTCTATGTTAGAGATATAATCTTAAGTGTTAAAGCCAACCATAGCTTTCTTTGGGATATTATTTTTTCCAACTGTTTTAATTACAAAATTCAGTCTAATTTTCCTGTTATATATCATTATTTTATCTATAAAATAAAGAAATATAAGACAAATGATCAGCTTTTTAGGGGGAGAGCACTTAGCCTAAAGTATTAATTAAAGCTATTATATGAAGTATTTGTTGTCATCTGTAATAACAGATGTACGAATTGTATATTTATTTTAAACTTAAGTTTAATTTTTAAAGTTAGTATATTGAATAATTCAGTAATTGGTGAGCCTATACACACATTGAGAACTAAAACTGGCTAATGTTGTTAGGCTTTAATCTTTTGATCACTGGATTTTCTATGTTTTTTTTTTAATCATTTCACCCTATTCAAGGCAGTAAAGTCCCTAAGGCCCAAGGGAGTCACTGAGTGTGAAAGAATAAGACAAAGAGAGAAACATTATTAAGGAGCAAGAACAATTGAAGAGTAATGGAGAAGATAGTAGGTTATGATTGACATTGCATTTAAATTTTTCTTGATCAAAATTGTCCAGAAAGCATAGCGCTAGAAGAGAGTTCCTCAAACAAGAAGTGCAAGAAAAGAAACTGTCAGCATAGAACATAGTTATATTTAGCCAATTCAACTATGAATTGATGAGACCTTGCTGCCAATCTAGTACTATGCTTAAATTCATAGAGGTACCATAGTGAAGAGAGTTTATGGGCAAAACATTCTGCTTTATTAGCAGGTGTTAACACCTCAAATTCATTGAAAAGAGGAGAAATAAAAAGCTTACTCTTATTTAATACACTATTACAGAGCCACCAGTAGTCACATAAACCAAAGTTTTTAGAGATGATACGGTGCTTTATGTTAGAAATTTACACATCAAGTTAGATTGCAAACATGAACATACCTTGTTTTGTGTGAATGCAGATATTCAACTTCATATTCCAGACAGGAGGATAAACTCAAGAAGGAAACAGACACATGTTGTACCATGTTAACAGACACAGTGACTTATTTTACTTATTAGAGACAACATGACAGTGCACCTTCATAACAACAATAAAAACAAAGAAATTAGCAGTAGATAACTCCAACCCCTTTATCTAACTGGAAATATTCATCTGACTAGAGTGGAATTTTCAAAACTCCTTCTCACTTGTCAGACTATTCTGTTATTTCCCATAGTCCTAGCAGTTCCCTGAGCTTCACAAATGCTAGTCAATCCTTTTGTCAGCATATCTGCAATCATATACTTACTTTGACAGTATTGTAGTTCACTAGTTTTCATTACAACTTGCTCTAGTATATAATGATATTTAATGTCAATATGTTTTGCTCATCCATGATACAGTGAATTTTTCACTATAAAAATCATAGATTGGTTGTCCTTATAGATCATTGTTGGGCGAACATGGACTTTATTAAGATTGTATTGGAAACACTGCATCCATAGTGCCTCCTGTGCAGTAAAAAAAAAAAAACATATATTCCACTTCAGCTGTAGATAATGCAACAGAGGCTTGCTTCTTACTTCTCCAACTGGTGGCTGCCCCACTTAGTTTAAACAGGCATTTTGATCTTGACTTGCAGTCACCCAGATCACCAGTCCAATCTGCATCCAAATATCCCATTAAATTTCCTGCTTCATTTTTGTTATAGAGTAGCCCATAGTTATGTGTAACATTTAAGTAATGCATAATATGTATTACAGCCTTCTAGGAACAAAATCTTGCTACATTTTCAACAGCATAGGTAATATCAGTTTGAGTACTTGTTGACAAATAAAGCAAGAATCCAATCATTGACTGAAATACTTCCCGACTCAATGGCTCACTGTCCTTTTTGGCTTTTGTCAAATTTGTATCAGCATCAATTGGAATTGCCACATACTTTAAGTTCTCCATTTGGAACTTCTGTGGTGTATACTGGTTGTCAGATCCATATTTTTCCTGGTCCTGGATAAGTGATTTTAACACCCAAGAAATAGTGCAACTTTCCCATGTTCATGATGTTTGCAAGATCTGTTTGATGAATCCTTGGATACATGTCAAGAACTTGCTTGTCAGGATGATGTCATCAACATACACAGCCACTAAGAACATATCTCCACCTGAGGTCTGTGTATAAATACAGGGATCATTTTCTAGTTGCTTGAAGTGCAGGCTTTTCAATTGACATGCTTCATTCCAACATTTTGGAAACTGCTTCAGACCATATATGCTTTACTTCACTTCACGGATCAGGTGTGATTTGTCCTTCATTCTTGAATCCTTTTGGCTGTTTCATATAAATATCCTCCTTCAGCTCACCATTTGGGAATGCAGTTGTTATGTCTAACTGATGCAGCTTTAGGTCATGTTTTGCTGCCAATGCAACAACAGTTTGAACTGATTTGAACCTTATAACTGGGGAAAAGTTCTCGTCATAGTCAACTCCATATCTTTGATTAAAACCTTGAGCTACTGGTCGAGCTTAGTGTTTTTCCATGTCTCCATCAGCATCATATTTTTGTTTAAACACCCACTGACTACCAATAGCTTTCCATCCACTGGGTAGTTCAATCAAGTCCCATACTTTATTTGTTTGAAGTGAATACATTTCCCTTTCTATTGCTTTCTTTCATTCATTTTTCTCGGGACTGGAAAGTGCTTCTTTCACAGTTAATAGAGCATTCAATCTGTGAGCAATATTTCATTGTTTAATTGAAGATGATATCTCTACAATGGAAAACTCTCAATTTTTCTGTATCATAAATTCAATATGCTTTAATGCAATACCATATCCAAGGAAGTTGCTCTTCTTAGCTTTAAGATCCACTTTGTTTCTATCATCCTTTGATATGTGAACATAAGCACTACATCCAAAAATATGTAAATGTTTCACATTAGGTTTGAAGTCTGTCCATAATTCATATGGTGTCATTTTGTGTACAGCAGTTGTTGGGCTTCAGTTTCAAATATATGTAGCTGTTGATAAAGCTTCTGTCCAAAATCTCTTTGGAAGATTTGAATCAGATAGCATTGCTTATACAGTTTCTCTCAGTGTCCAATTTATCCTTTCAGCCACTTCATTTTGCTCTGGTGTCTAAGGAACAATATGTTGATGGTGTTTTCCCCTCTTTTTGTAGGTAGTTTTCAAATTCTCTTGAAGTGTACTCTCCACAATTGTCAAGTGCATAGTGTTTTCACTTTCTGTCCACTAGACCTTTCAACCATATTTTTCCACTCCACAAACTTAAAAACTTTTACCTTGTGTTTGGGCATGTACACTTATACAAATATTGATTTATCGTCAATAAATGTGACAAAGTATTCAGCTCCACCAAGTGATTTTTGCCTTAGTCTTTCCACATACGTTGCTGTGAACAATTCCATGCATTTTGGCTGATCTGCTTGTACCAGTTTTTGGAAATGAAAAACAGTGATTCTTTCCATTCAAGCATGGTTCACAAAAGCTCATATCTTTAGTGACATTGAAATCAAAACCATTTACTTACTGATCTCTTGCTAGTTTCTTCAAATTCTATGCTCCAAGATGACCAAAACACCAATGCTAAATTTCTTCTTTATTATCATTACTTAAATATTTTCTGTTGCATTGGCCACTTCTTGTTTTTCAACATAGTTCAAATAGTAGAAGTTTTCATTTTTTTTTTGTATCTGTAGCAATTGGTTTTTGTTTTTCACCCAAAACCTGACAATTTGTTTCAGTGAATATAAATGTCTTTCCAGACTTGTAGCTTTTGCTACACTCAGTAAGTTGTATGAGAGTTTACGAACATACAGAGCCTCATACAACCTTCATTTTTGCCACTTTCAATCTGAAACTTTCACATTCAGTTCAATCATTTTCATTCCCAATGCATCAGCTGAATAACCATTACCAAGAGTTATTTCCTCTGCTGCATCCAGCTGCCTAAAGT